AGGTTGGATTTGAACCCCGGTCTGTCTGCTCTCTCGAGGACCAAGCCTCTGTACACAAGGTTACGCACACTAACCGCTAGGCTACCGGCGCCCCCTATGTTTCTTTTCTTATTCTTGCACAGGTTATGTGAATGTTCCTGATTTTTTTATGATAAATTATTTTTTTTATTTGCATCTCTGTAGGGGTTGCTTTGAATCTTGGTTTGCGTTAATATAGACATACAGGGTGGGGGGCAAGCGGGCGTTAGATGTTTCATGTCATGTGTGTCCTGTAAGCGGTTTCTGGATGCTTTGAATTTCCCAAATGTCTGTCCGTCTGTCCTGTGGGCTGAAGCCTCATATCTAGTGTACAAACATTAAAGCCATATCAGTCTAACATCTCACAGGAGTCTGAGTTTCCTCAAGTTGTGGAACTGCTCCTTTAATCTATGTTTGTACTTATGATGTGAGATGTGGGCAAGTGTTGAGATGCATAATTCATCTGCGTTTTTAAGCTATTTTGAAGTAAGCGTGCATCATGTTAGGTCGCTAACATTCATCTCTTCCCTCAGGCTTCTGAGTCTGCGTCTACACATGATGAGTTATAATCTGAGACGCTCCATCAGTCCCAGTTTGTAGATTTATAAATTCATCTTTAAATTCTAGTGGTCATTACAATTTAATCACATGCAGCAGGATGCTGTCATCGTCTCGGCCAATCAGGTTTCAGGTTATAAAAAGGGTACTACTCTCTCACCTGTGATACAACATGAGTGCTGTAGAGACTCTTCATTCTTTGATCCTTTTTTTTTTTTCCATATCCGCAGAGCTAATTGAGGTTTGATGACATTTCTACAGCACTCCATTAATAATGCAAAATATTTAAAGATCACCTATTTTTATCTCCTCGTGACAGATTGTGGTAATTATTTTGGACATCTGTTGGGGTTTGGACCTTATTAAACCTGATTCAGACACTTCTTGTACTCATTAGGACGAGCCGGAGGCCATCAGACTGTTCTCGTCTTTTACACACAGTCAGTCAAGACTCATTGATATGTTGGACGGCGGAGTGAAGCTCCACAGCATGAGCGACATACTCAGGGGTACGGAGGAAGCGGCACTCTGGGTCCTTGTCATCATTCCACGGTCCTCAGTACTTTGAGACACCAAAAATATGAATGGACATAGCCTGAGTGGCGTCAGACGTCTGTTCCTGCACGGGGGCGCTGGAGTCCCATTGATGGCGGTCTCCATGCTGGAAATACTGTCTCAGTCTAACTTTCAGTCAACCTAACAACAGGCTGAGAGCTGGAGCTGAGGCGGGTTTTGAGACTCCTGACAAACATCTACACTGTTGTGCTGTAGTAATCGAGATCAGTCTTGGTATGAAGACCGGTCCCAGCCTTCCCGGTGTTACAGTCTAAATTAGTGACACGCCTTCCCCACACAAACGGGAGTGGGTGAAGACGAGAGGAGGAGACGCATCTGCAAAAACTCAAATCTTAACGACATGTTCATCTATAGTCACAAATATCTCTTTTCATTTATTATTTTCCTCGTTCACTTGATAAATCCAGATAAACATCTTATTTCAAGACATAAAAACAAGTGTATGTGGACTTGTGCTGCCTCTGTCTTGGTCTTGTCTCGGTCCCCATCCCTAAATGTTTTGGTCTTGACTCAGCCCGGATCCCTAAATGTCTTGGCCTTCACTGGGTCCTGATCCCTAAATGTCTTGGTCTTGACTCGGTCCAGATCCCTAAATGTCTTGGTCTTGACTCGGTCCGGATCCCTAAATGTTTTGGTAAAAAAGTTCTGATTAAAAAAACGTTTTCAAACTTTGTAAGTAACGGTTCTGAAACTTACCTGGACTTGCGTCGTTTTTCATTACCTCCCGTTCCTTCAGAATCCTCCTGTCCATCACGGCTCTCCGGCTTTTTCTCACCGCGCTCTGCTTCCCCCTCAGAACCTGCTGGCTCTTCTTTTGAGTCCTGAAGGAACAGAACATCTCCTCCTGCCACTGGATACTGACGCTTATTTTCTGCTCAGAAAGCCTTTTCTTCTGAGAAGATGAGTCTGCATGATCTTGATTCAGATCTGCATCTCGTCTGCAGTGTCAGCACAGACAGAAACTCTGGGACAGATATGAAGGACAAGCACCTTCAGTCTCATTGCTGGCGTCGGCTTTGCTTGACTGTTTGCATCACCAGACGGTTCTGCCTCACCTGATCCAGCACTTGGTCTGTGTGCACTCTCGCTCCCTTGTCTCATACTTGTGAATATAAGATCTCATGATCCCCAAAGGGAATGCTTTGTGGCAGCTGTCGCTCTGTGGTCGTCTCTTCATCGGAGGGTTGGTGTTTCAATCCCTCAGTTCCTGAAGTCCACATGTCAAAGTTTCCTTGGGCAAGACCTTGGACCCCACATTGCTACCCAGCATCCTCTGCAATCAGTGTATGAACACTTTGAGTGGTCAGAAGACTAAAGGAGAATGTTAGTGCAGTATGTTTATCATTTACCATCTCCAAAAAGCATCCACTTGGACTCAAGGATGGACTGCGTGGAGTTTGAAAAAAATAAACTTTTTGGCAATACTTCAAGAACTCATACCAGAATACCTGAGCACAAGAACAAACACAGGTAAGGACAAAAATGCCACAAAGGAAGCTCAACATAATTAGAAAAGTCACTACAAGATGCCCTAAAAGAGAGTACTAGAGCACTAGACAGAATCATCCCGCAGAGTGGTGGAGTGAAGAGGACCAGGCTGTTATTGTCAGGTGGACGAGGTGAGTGGAGCCAGGTGAGCCTGAGGGGAGAAGCCAGCCACACCCCCTGCCACTCACATACCTGCAGCAGAATGAGAACAGACAGGTGAGGGGGAGGGGGAATGAGAACAAACACATACACAAAAACTACAACAAAAATAAAACAGCATCATCCCAGCATCACTCTGCTGCATGCATGACATTTAGAGCATTTATGAGATTATGTAAGGATCTGAGTATTTGATGATGATTTAGACTTTACAGGAGGAATATTATGTTTTATGTAAAAATGCACTTTTTCTAAACTGTATGCACCCTTTGTCTAGCACTCAGCAGGAGACATGAACGTATGCAGCTTTTTAACATTCTGCCTTGAATTTGAAATATCGCCATCTCCTCGTGTATTCCCAGCACATCTACGCGCTCTCAGCTCTGCAGTCACACACAGGCAACAGGCTCTCCGCAGCTCCCACTGCTGCCTGTACTACAGGCTTCCTTTCGGTGGCGCTAGAGCACCGGACAAAGCACCATTTGGCACACAGAGAGGGGCTGATGATCAGGCTGCATGAGCTGTGGCTTTGCCGCAACTTTGTTGTGTTATGAAATCGGAGCTGAGTGCGCACTGCAGGAAGAGAGGAAGTACAGAAGATTACAGTCTGCTGTGCTTCTCACTGTAAAAATCACAGACTGTGGCACATTACATGAGCAAAAATAACCCTGCGTGTCCTCCCACGTGTTGAATGTGTGATGAGCAATGCTGCACATTTCCCTCTGTTTGTCTTCAAGCTGTCTCATTTTGTGTCTCACATTAACCTGCAGACTGTCTACTGTAATGTAGTTCAGATCACTTATTGTGCATTAAGGATGCATTCACTGCAGTGTTACAAAAAACAAACACCTGTGGCACCTGCGGCTTTCCATTCTTTCTCTTCACGCCTAAATCACGCACAATTACGTGCATGCAACACGCGCTGGAGAGTCTATGCAGATTCTCTTGTTTAATCGTGTTGCACTAATGTCGAATAACCATCTTCAGGTTGTATAACTTTACACATCTCGTTGGTTTCATGAGTGGAAATTCTCCGTCTAATCCCTTAACTGCAATGAACACGTGCTGAAATGTAACCAGCTCCCACATACGCATAATGACGATTCGGGGAAATATTCAGAGAGAGGAGACACTAAAGTTAGTGTACAATTTGTGAATTTGAATTTGAATTCTCCACAAAACACACATTTTCTGATTAAAAGCAGATATATGTTCAGTCTATTCTCTAGGGTCAAATCTAATGAGAATTTAGATTTGTTTTTTTTTGTGTGTGGCAAATATGTGAATGTGGTTCAGAGAGTCTTAAAAATCCAAGCACCCACTGAGCACCTATACGCCAAACATGCTGTTCTTATAGGGATGAATGGAAAATGCGCATCTCCGGGGAAACAGATGATAAGTGCAACGGGAGAGCAGCTGCGTGGGTCAGCAGCTCTGCGGGCCTATGTTTAGAGCCCTGGTGGGCTTTAAGAGAGGGAAGAGGAGAATAAAGATGCTTCAGCTCGACCTGATGGAGACAAGAGTGGGCCGCTGACAAAGAGGCCACGATTAGGTCTCACAATAGACCTTTTTTTTTTTTTTTTAATTAATTTAGGCCGTAAGCACATGAGCTGTGAGAGGTCACTTTGATCAAGCATGCATGAAGACAGAATGTTAAAACGTATTTTTACAGACGCTGTTAGTCGTAATGAGCCAGCAGCCAGTGTGAGCGCAAGATACTGGGTCTGAAGTCATGAAACGTGTCAGACTGCATGTGAAAAATGTCACTTTGCTCACGTGTGCTTCTCCATGATTGGATGCTTCTATTACTGCTTCGCCGCTCATCGCCGTGTTTAAAGGCCGCGGGCATTTAAAGGTCTGACTCGACCTTTTTTTTCTTCTTCTCCCGGATTGTTTCATTATTCGCGAGAGGAAAACACACATTAATACTGAACCTCGGCACAAGCTGCTCTGCTATAATTATTACCTGCTCCAGGCTGTCATCAACTCAGCCGTTTTCCTTTTAGACCTGTTGAAATATGCAGCATGTTCCTCATTTCTCATTATGCCAACTGATGAGCTGAAATGCAACCCTTTGACAACTCGCTCTTCTTATGCGCGAACCGCTCTGACTCCTCCCTTCTCCCTGTGTCCCATGTAAGGTGACACCAGCCAATCACATCTCATTCCGCTTCTACCTAGCTGGGGGAAAACGGCACAAGGAGGCGGAAACTCGCCCTTGGTGTATATAAGCAGTTAAGCGTGGGATTTTTGTATCCGTATCACCCTCCAATCATTAACAGCCGGTGTGGGCGACCACAAGAGCGCTCACAGGGCGCACAGAGACCCGAGATCTGTGCCGGTTTGTGATAGACCGAGAGGGGAAACCCCAGCTTTTGCAGCTCCCAGGCGACCAAAGAAACACATGCTGTCACCTCTGCAGAGAGCGCTGTCCGTCCGCTGTGGTGCTGAACAACAAGTCTCTACCCTTCGACCGGTGACGTAAAGCTAAGACTCATCCAAGCAGAGACCCAAGACTCAATCCACGAAGAAAAACAAACATCACATCTGCACTTGAAGTATGTATGTTCATTTGCATGGATTTGAAGCAACTTAAAAAGCAAAGTCGAGACAGAAAACACGGAGCAGAAGTGATGGCCGGACTCCCCCCCGCCCTCAGCGTCACTCCGGCGGTCTGAGCCAAGCAACGCGTTGCCGCTTCGCACCGGAACCCAGCGGAGCCTCCGTAGATGAGGAGAGTGACAGAGGCTTTCGATCAGTGAGGTACGCTCTTGCACGAGGAAATTAGGGAAATCAATTTTGCTAGTTTGCTCTCCTGAAGGGCTCTACATGCAGCTGCAAAAATGGGCTGTATCAGCTCCAAATCGCCAGTTGGTAAGATGTGTTTAATCTGCTCTCATGAAAAGAAACGCACGTTGGAGGGAGCCTGACATTTCGCATTTGTTTTGCTGCAGCCTTTCGCGGGTGCAGAGGCTTGGAGTGAATTCGGGTGCTTTAGTGCACAGCATGCTGTGCCCGAGCTAGGAGACATATGATAGCGCTGCTGAGTCATATGCATTCATATATAAGGAGCTTTTTTACAAAAAGCGTTAAAGATGACTGGAATTTCTAGGATTTCGGTCCATTTGAAGGTTAAATGGTGTGTATGTGTAGGGGGGGGCATTTTAGCGGGGTGGTGGAAAGGAGCTTTAGGGGCTGGTATCTGCAGCCTAAACATCGCGATGCTTCGAGAGTTGCAAGAAGCTTTTTGGTGAGCACGCCAGTCAGAGGCAGGAGACAGAGGTGCTCTTGACACCGTTGAGGGATGCGCTGTTAAACGGGTTTTTCTGCGTGTCTGAGAGGAGAGGACGCATCCAGGCAAGATGGTTCTGACCGCGCTGACCCAGTTTAGTTGCAAGGTAGGACACCATTTAGCTCGTATCCTGACGCATGCTCACCAACCAGATCTTCAGCGTTATAACTTGCTATTTCTCTCATCTTAACGGGCTTATAGCTTCTTGCTGTTAAACGACAGACTATTTTGCAGACGCATAATATAAATATAGCTCTTCAAGGCGCACACGTACAGCAGGAGTTCCTTCTGCTTGTTGCCAAGAAACAAGCTCCCTGTTGCCAGCGCATCTCTCTGCTCTCACGGTTGTTTACACCTTCGCTCTACGTGACTTCCTTCCGCTAGCCGCCGTGAGCTCCATCCCCAATGTGTGCTACCCCGACCTCCGACTCGTGTGTCTCCCCTAGATTTCCCTCCACCTTGTTATTTATCTGACTGGGACTCGTCTGGAGCCTCCATAAATCAAATCTACGGTCCCACATCCATCCATCTTTTCATCCATGCATCAACTCATTCGTCTCCATTTCTCACACTCAAGCAGACATGCTTGCGTACTTTTGCTTTTAATGTCTCATGTAACCTTTGCAACTGTGATTTATCCTTCATATCCATGCTGACATCTCCCCTCTGTACCTCCTAATTGGTTATGTAATGTGTCGCCTCAGTTACTTGATGATTATGGCGCCACGTCCCCGTCTCCTTGTGGCGGAGTGCGTAACGTGAGGACATGCTCCAGTCCCATAAAGCACAGAGAGCACCGTGCGTGCAGGTTTCTGCACATTTATCAAGGCAGTGCTATACAGGAGGTCAGTATAGCAGCCACCTGTTTGACTCTCAGATTCAGCCTGTGTGTGTGTGTGTGTGTGTGTGTGTGTGTGTGTGTGTGTGTGTGTGTGCGCGCGCGTGTGTGTGTGTGTGTGTGTGTGTGTGTGTGTGTGTGTGTGCGCGCGCGTGTGTGCGTATGTGCGTGCGTGTGTGCGTGCGTGTGTGTGACATCACACATCTTACTGCTGCTGGTGTCGACCTTAATGTGTTGATTCGCTCTTAAGTCACTGGAAGACATGAGAGAGAGAGAGAGAGAGAGAGAGAGAGAGAGAGAGACAGAGAGGATGAGAAGGAGAGAGAGGGGGGCTGCACGACTGAGGTCTCCCTATCTGCAGTTTCCACGACAACGAGAACTACAGAGATGAAGAGAGAGAGAGTGAGAGAGAGAGAGAGAGAGAGAGAGAGAGAAAGAAGAGTGTTTGTGAGAGAGACCTAAGTAAAACAACAACATAGATAAATAAAAATAGGGCTGCAGTTCTCATTTGCTTTGAAGGGAAGAGGAAACATTTTAGAAAGATCGCGGTCAGGGGAAGCAGATTAATTGAGATTTTAAAAAAATGCGTCGAATAATTTAACAAATGAGCCACAGACGGAGGATGACCGCAGGGCTTCACCACAGAGCCAACACAAGTTTCAGTCTCCTCGAGCCCAGCATGTCATGCTCACGAGTCTGTAGTTTCATTCGTTTGTTCCCAAACATTGACTTCATCTCTTTTCTTTATTCCATGTCATCATCTAAAAAATGTGCATTCTTGCTCTTTCTCAGGGTCACTACTGCAAAAACAACAGAACTGGGTTTGTGCATTGCAGAAGTGAAAGACCATGAGTTTGAATTGTGCGTAAAGAATCCACTGTGTGTCGCAGCAAACCTCTCAAAGCCAGGGCATCATATTTATGGAGCGCGTTTACAGTGGAGTTTTTTTTATCTGACTCGGGATAATGATGTTGACAAGGCACAAGAGAAACCTGGATATCATGACGATATCCAGGTTTCTGATCATCTGTGCAGTCATGTCTCAATTGCTCCTTTAAGTTCTGCAGAATGTTCAGAAACCTGATTGAGGCCTTATTACAGTGCTGTGGGTGAATGTTTGAAGCCCGCGTAATCAAGTCATGCATTGTGATGACATGCGTATTGATATTTCAGTCCTTTCCTGTTTGTGTCTGGAGAATAAGAAACCTGGTTATCCTAACCCCTGCATGGCAGCAGGCATGTTTATGATCATCTGTGTGATTAGATCATCATTTCTCACCATCTCAGCCATCAAGTTTTGCGCCAACGATAAGAGTCAGAAACCTGGATTAAGTGTTTAAAAGCCACAATCTATCTCCTATCCAGTTTCTGAAAACCAGGATATCATGTTCACATGCGCAAACATAACCATAACAAGATACCAGTGTGTACTCTTGACTGAGTACATCCGGAAACACTGCACACACATGAACAGAGAACTGGATACGTCATGTTATTGTGATGTGGATAATCAGGTTTATAATTTGTTTGAAGCAATAAAACCAGGATAAGGCTCAAAATAAGGTGTCGAGTGAGTACAAGAGTCACCACATCCCTTCGACACGATGTTCCATTTCACCAACAATACATGACCGGTGTTATGCCGAGAATTGCATTCCTGCCTAGAATTGCATGCATCTCGCGGAACTGTTGGAGCACGGTATAACTGTTATTTCTGGGGGGCAGATCTGTGATGACAAAGTCTGTGAAGTGTATCAGCCTGCGTAAATATGAACTGCAAACAGTGTTTGAAGTGTCCGTAGAGGAAATTTAAGGATGGATGCTTCATACGTCAGTGTTGATTCGGTCTGCCATATTTTACATTGTCCTGCGAGGTGCAGGCAATTCTACGCATAACACCTGGAATATTTAAAAAAAAACAGATCTTACTCAGTGCGCATGTGAACGTGAACTGACAGGAGGAGGCTGTGGCGATTCCTGCGAAACGGAGACATCTTCTGACAATTTGTTCCTGCATGTGTCACCTTAAAATCCCCCTCGGGTTAGAGCGAGCAGGCACCGGGCTCAAGTGTCTGGTACAATCTGCACATGAGTTTGTTGCTCAACAAAACACGTGCGCATCCTTCACTCCTCTCAACAATACATGCATTGACCGATGTGGCCTAGATTCAATGATACGGTACACCCCGGGTATCTGATCTCATCACACCCAATTAAACGGCACATATTGAATTGTGCTGCTGGAGCAACCTGAGCCCGTGCGCGCAAATCGTCGGCTCTTTGACCCGGAGGTGAGTGATTGGTCCTGATATTGGACTCAATATTTGAGATGGGTGCCGCCGACTAATCGAGCGGCTCGTTCTTTTCACAGACAGTAACTAGACACGCCTCCCCAGCAGCGGAGGACCGGAAAGAGGAGCCAGGCACTGACATTTAGAGGCCCACCTCTTAATCTCATTTTGCAAATCAGATTTTGAAGAGTGGCGAGCACGCGCGGGGTTGGCACGTGTGCGTGTGTGCCGGCACTAGTGAAGTGAGGATATGGGAGCTGTCCAGGTGCTGAAATGTCCCGCTGCACGCCGTAGCTGCAGCTGTGCGAGGCTCATGCACACAGGAGCAAGTTTACAAGCACCTCCGCGTTGAGCCTGTCAGGTGACGACGAGGGCAGCTGTTAGAAAGGTTAAACACACGTAGTCAACCACATAGTCCTGTTCCTGTTGGCAGTCACGTTTTGCAGCCAGGAGGAGGGTTGCTTAGTGACATTTGAGCAGCTTTCTGGTCCCGCAGCGCGCACCAGCTTGCTTCTGTTGATGACGTGTCCTTATCACGTCAGAATACCTAAGACAACAGGGAGGTCTAAGAAAATTGCATAATATCTCCACAGGCACCATGCTTATTGTGTTATAATGCTTCTCTCCCTCCGACAAAGCAGAGGCAACTTCATAAAATATCCAACAGGCTTGGGCTGCTGCCAGGGCCTTGACCTTACCTGCATGACACGGCATGGCTTTAAAGTGCATGGAAGTAGACCTCCACGACCCCCTTCCCCTCCCCCTCCCCCTCCTCCTCCCAACATGATCTCACTACAAGTAGTCTCTGCAGAGCACGCTGCAATAAAGTGCTCCGTGAATTCTGAGAAGTGTTGAAAAGAAGGGTACTCCAGAACTGCATCTTTTGTAGACGCCTTTTTAAGTCCTGCAGCACCCTGGGATAATAACACTTAACCTTCATCTCGACGCTGCTGTAAACGCTATTAAAATGAAATCACCAAACAATATCCTCTTGAAGTAACTTAGAGTCCTTGATTTTTCAAACTCAGATGGTTCTTTGATTTTTTCTTCTTCACATTTGTCTGTGTGAAGTCGATGTCTATGTTCACTTTTGCTGGCAGTCGTATGTTTATTTTAAAGGGGTAATCATTTGACTTCCAGGGTTCCTTTGTGGTTTTCTTTGGGGAGAAACTGCAGTGAGATATGGCAACATTACATCCCTTTCTGCTCATGCGCTGGAGCCCCCGCAGGAGGCATGTGGGTTAGCATGGTGACTGCAACTCTTAAGGATTGGCTTAATCCTTAAGACTCCGGTAGTTAGTTTGGCCGTTCTCGCTCCAGTTATTATGAACAACGACGTTTA